GATAATAGCGGACGATATTGCCAGTCCAATTTGCCATATTTTCAATTTAAGCCTACTAGAAAGTGTGTCCCCTCAGGTCTTGAGGGAAGCAAAGGTTATTCCCCTTCCTAAGGATAGTAAAGTCCCCTTTACTGACTCAAATAGCCGACCAATTAGCCTGTTACCAATCCTTAGTAAACTATTGGGGAAAATGGTGTTTGACCAGATACAATGCTATTTTACAGTAAACAAATTGACAACAGACCTTCAGCACACTTATAGGGAAGGACATACAACAAGCACAGCACTTACACAACACTTACACTGATGATTTGCTGAGAGAAATTGATGATAAAAAAGATTGTGGGGGCTGTTTTGTTAGACTTCAGTGCGGCTTTTGACATCATCGATCATAGTCTGTTGCTGGAAAAACGTATGTGTTATGGCTTTACACCCCCTGCTATATTGTGGATAAAGAGTTACCTGTCTAATAGAACACAGAGGGTGTTCTTTAATGGAAGCCTCTCCAACAAAATCCAGGTAGAATCAGGAATTCTAGGCCCCTTACTTTTTTCAATCTTTACAAAGAGATGCCACTGGCTTTGAGTAAACCTATGTATGCGGATGACTCAACACTATACATGTCAGCTATCACAGCGACTGAAATGACTGCAACACTTAACAAAGAGCTGACACGGACGACTGATCCGTGTAAAGGAAAGAATGAATGGGGCCATGTATCGTGAGATTCCATCAGCAAGGGCATTGAAGATGAAACGTGGCTGGGTCTTTCAGCATGACAATGATCACAAACACACCGCCCGGGCAACGAAGGAGTGGCTTCGTAAGAAGCATTTCAAGGTCCTGGAGTGGCCTAGCCAGTCTCCAGATCTCAACCCCATAGAAAATCTTTGGAGGGAGTTGAAAGTCCGTGTTGCCCAGCGACAGCCCCAAAACATCACTGCTCTAGAGGAGATCTGCATGGAGGAATGGGCCAAAATACCAGCAACAGTGTATGAAAACCTTGTGAAGACTTGAGAAACTTTTGATATTGACCAAATATTTATTTTCCACCATAATTTGTAAATAAATTCATAAAATATCCTACAATGTGATTTTCTGGATTTTTTTCTCATTTTGTCTGTCATAGTTGACGTGTACCTATGATGAAAATTACAGGCCTCTCTCAACTTTTTAAGTGGGAGAACTTGCACAATTGGTGGCTGACTAAATACTTTTTTTCCCCACTATATCTGAGGTTCTTCAAATAGCCTCCCTTTGCCTTGATGACAGCTTTGCACACTCTTGGCATTCTCTCAACCAGCTTCACCTGGAATGCTTTTCCAACAGTTTTGAAGGAGTTCCCACATATGCTGAGCACTTGTTGGATGCTTTTCCTTCACTCTACGGTCCAAGAACACTAAAATAACCTGCCTAAATGACTACCGACCCGTAGCACTCACGTCTGTAGCCATAAAGCGCTTTGAAAGGCTGGTCATGGCTCACATCAACACCATCAACACCATTATCCCAGAAACCTTAGACCCACTCCAATTTGCATACCGCCCTAACAGATCCACAGATGATGCAATCTCTACTGCACTCCACACTGCCCTTTCCCACCTGGACAAGAGGAACACCTACGTGAGAATGCTATTCATTGACTACAGCTCAGCGTTCAACACCATAGTGCCCTCAAAGCTCATCACTAAGCTAAGGACCCTGGGACTAAACACCTCCCTCTGCAACTGGATCCTGGACTTCCTGACGGGCCGCCCGCAGGTGGTAAGGGTAGGTAACAACACATTTGACACGCTGATCCTCAACACGGGGGCCCCTCAAGGGTGCGTGCTCAGTCCCCTCCTGTACTCCCTGTTCACCCATGACTGCATGGCCAGGCAAAAAAAGAGGACTGAGCACGCCCCCATTCTCATCGACAGGGCTGTAGTGGAACAGGTTGACAGCTTCAAGTTCCTTGGTGTCCACATCACCAACAAACTATTATAGTCCAAACACACCAAGACAGTCGTGAAGAGGGCACGACAAAGACTATTACCCCTCAGGAGACTGAAAATATTTGGCATGGGTCCTCAGATCCTCAAAAAGTTCTACAGCTGCACCATTGAGAGCATTCTGACTGGTTGCATCACCACCTGGTATGGCAACTGTTTGGCCTCCGACTGCAAGGCACTACAGAGGGTAGTGCGTACAGCCCTGCCATCCAGGACCTCTATACCAGGCGGTGTCAGAGGAAGGCCCTTACAATTGTCAAAGACTCCAGCCACCCTAGTCATAGATTGTTCTCTCTTCTACCGCACGGCAAGCTGTACCGGGGCGCCAAGTCTAGGTTCAAAAGGCTTCTTAACAGCTTCTACCCCCAAGCCATAAGACTCCTGAACAGCTAATCATGGCTAACCGGACTATTTGCATTGCCCCCCCCCCCCCACACCACCCCATCCCCCTCTTTTACGCTGCTGCTACTCTGTTTATTATTTATGCATAGTCACTTTAACTCTACCCACATGTACATATTACCTCAATTACCTCGACTAACCGGTGCCCCCGCACATTGACTCTGTACCGGTACCCCGTGTATATAGCCTCCCTACTGTTGTTTTATTTTACTGCTGCTCTTAAATTATTTGCTCTTTTTGTATTTTTTACTTAACACTTTTTTTTATTTTCTTAAAAACTGCATTGTTGGTTAGGGGCTTGTAAGTAAGCATTTCACTGTAATGTCTACACCTGTTGTATTGATTTGTTTTGATATTGTAATGAATAATGTGGTAATTGAGCATGTTGAGACTAAACTGATTAGAGTAACCCTGGATTGTAAACTGTCATGGTCAAAACATATTGATACAACAGTAGCTAGGATGGGGTCTGTCCTTAATAAAGTGCTGCTCTGCATTCAGCACTATCAACAAGAAAGGTCCTACAGGCCCTAGTTTTGTCACACCTGGAATACTGTTCAGTCGTGTGGTCAGTTGCCACAAAGAGGGACTTAGGAAAATTGCAATTGGTTCAGAACAGGGCAGCACGGCTGGCCCTTGGATGTACACAGAGAGCTAACGTTATTAATATGCATGTCTATCGCTCCTGGCTCAAATTGGAGGAGAGATTGACTTCTTCACTACTTGTATTTGTGAGAGGTATTGACATGTTGAATGCACCGAGCTGTCTGTCTGATTCTAATAATTAGCTGGTTGATAAACTGCATCAGGTTAGTTACAACTGGGGTTGGAGCAGAAACCTACAAGAGGGTAGCGCTCCAGGACCAGGATGAATGACCACTGCAGTAGAGAAAAAGATGGTTTTGGTTCCACCACTCAGTCATTACAGGATGAACTCAAAAAACCCCAAACCATTGTTTCAGGCTGAAAGCATGAGAGATAATAAAATGGGCTACGGACAGCACATCATGTGTATGTAAAAATGAAACAGACCATATATTACATGTATGACCAATGTTTTATTTAGATAGTGGCCGATAAAACCACACAAGCACGACGCTTGGCCCATTTATCAAGAATTTCAACATGACAAAAGAACAACATTGGGACTTTTCAATGTACAAAACAAATTATACAGTATATAAATACTTGGCCATATAGGAGCAGCACTATAAATGGCTCTTGGTTGCTTTAAATGCAAAGTGTCCCATTACGTACAGTTTGTTGAAATAGAAAAGCACTCCATTTTAATTTTTGCATTATTCTTAGGAGGGCTATATAAAATGGCATCCCTTGAGGAGCTCAGGTTTAGCACAAAAGTTATAGGAAAACCGAGAGAAACCACTGATGACCATAAAACCGTGCTCATTAACAGTGCCTTTCAGGTGACAGCTTTGTTCGAAACCAAAATTCACAGCCACAATGTAGTATCATTCCAAAGTGAACAGTAAAAGAAACTATGACAACAGTTAAACAATGCGCTCATGTGCCATGTCAACCTGCAGCTCAAAAACGCATCACAGAAAACCGATCAAATGCAAACTTCATGGAAATAATGGTTCAAAACTAAGAGACAGAAAATCTCAAAGGATCTGTGAGATACTTCTTGTGTGGTTTGACCGACCTGTAGTGCAATACCATTAAACACAGCTGACAGCCTTGTCACGCCTTTTCTGTTAGTGGAAAAATGTGGATATACAAGAAAATCTTAACAGCACAGTAGGCCAGGGCCCTGCAGTGCGGTTAATGTGATCTTGAACAACAAACTATCAACTTACAATAAAGATGGAGAACATTTTAACCTCACAAATATCTATTTTTTTATTCATTTTGGACATAACTTGAGTGTGTGCAGTGTGTGTACAGCTGTGTCATCACGCAGGCACTTTGACTGACCAAAGTTTACAATCACACAAGCTGCATAACCAACACATCCCTGACCACATACAGGGCTGGGAAATACAGTGGAGAATGCCACACGGCAGAGCTTTGGTCAGGCAGCGCCTCATGTTTCAGCAATTTAAATAGTTATAAGAAAGGGATAACGGGACAGATAAAATGGAGTGAAAATGATAGCAGGTTTATAAAACATGTATTTTCTGAGTTGTAAGGAGACCTCTGAGTACCCAGACGTGTATGTATGCATGAGAGGGCTGTTGATATAAGAGATAGTTAATCTATGCGAAAAGGTCTTATTCTAACAACTCCATTTCAAGTCTCCTGCTTCAGTTGAATAACATTTAAAATACCTGTGCAAACCATTTTCTGAAGGCCTCAAAGCTCAAATTAATCTTAGAAACAAAAAACAAACACACACAGAATAAAGAACAAGTTATACATGAAATATAAGATTGCGGTGGTCTGTGGATGGGTCCTTAGTCCTGAAAAGAAGGGGTTTGGAATTGATACTCTTGCGCTGACCCCTGTCGGCGGGTGTAAAAGTGGAATGCAACTGACAGGGTAGCTGGCCACACCACTGCACTGTGATGGGAGTGCAGCACAGCAGCGCCTCTTACTGGTCCTTAGTTGGGTTTGCTGGGCCGTTTTCCTGCATGGTGTAGACGACAAACAGACGGAGACACAGTTCAGAAGACAGAGATGAGGGCGAACACCCCGTAGAGAAGTGCACAGGGGTACGCCACCAGAAGCTGCTGTCTGTCCATGGCCAGGGCCGAGATGAAGATCTTGGAAGCGGAGAAACTGCACCAGCCAATTATCGTGGCTGCGATGATTATTCCAAACATGCCTCTGAAAAGGTAAAGAAAAGCTAGTTAGATCAGTTGGCAAAATGTTTGGTAAGAAAATGTGCAATTGAATTCTCCATAAACAAATAGAGCATCAAAAGTAAATCAGTCATTTTACTGTAGGCTCATATTATGTTGTACACCACCTGACACTCCACAGATCTACCTCTATTCTCAGGCCCATGTTTGTACTTACTGTAAAGAGAAGATGATTCCGAAGCTGGCAAGGAGGATCATGGGTAGCAGGCAGTAGCCCAGTACACTGGCGACACAGCCAAACGACACACCTGTCATGCTCATTAGGTTGAGGAGGCAGTACATCCCCAGGCAGCCGATGACGCTGATGCCGTACACATAGCCAAACTGGATCTTTCCTGTCTGTAGCAGATAGACACAGACAGGAACCATATGGACAACTCATCAGCCATCTGAATTTACAGTCATTTCTTCACAAGGCAGACAATGTTATTGCACAAGGTATAATGACAAATACATGTGCTGTACTGCATTAGTAATAGAATAGTTCTTACCAGAAGTAAGGTGGCTCCGAAGGCCAGACAGAACACCATGGGCCCAGCCAGGTCAGTCTCGTTCATAATGTTACCATCTGCTGCCTTCATGGGGTGGAGCACTGTCAGGGTCTTCTGCCAGATGTGGTCAAAGTTAATGCCCAATTCTGTGAGGTACAGCAAAAGCATGAAAGGATATTAAAGCAATGTCAGATATAAGCGAAAGAGTTGGGTGAGAGAAGGGACAACTCATTCTTACAATATAGTCTGAAAAAAAGAGAACCTTACTAAAACAATTCTCTATACCTCCTAGAATTACATACACCTTTTCAGGTTAAAAGGAAATTAAAAGCAACAAACATTTATTTTGTATCAAGAGAACACCTCTCACTACGACACACTAATGTATCAGATGAGTGGAAGATTTATGCTCATCTCCAAAATAAGACTATCACCTTACTTAGAGACATTTATCAGCTTAGCAGGATGGCCCTGGTGATCCCTGACTGCTGACCCATTTAGTGCACACAACTGGGCCACTCTACTGGTTTAACTAGGCCTTCCGGTCTCAGGGGAGTGCAACATGGATAGAGATCCCACTAAAGACATTTAAACCCATCATAGTGCTCCCACATAGAGATGTATAGAGATCACAACGTTGCATCTGTCCCGTTATGGCATCTGAGCGCACGGCTAGCGCCATTGAGGCCATCCCCAGTTTGAAGTAGTCAATTTTCTTCTACTACTTCTATGAGTTGGTAAACAAACTGAAAGGTACATACTGCCACCTGGAGTGTTGTTTGAACAAGTATAAAGCCAAGGTTGGCGATTTACTGCCACCAGCATTTATGGAATGTTTACTCACAAGTATAATTAATTGGCTGATCCCTCCTGGTGACCTGGATGGAATTATGTGATCCTTCCTTAACCCATAGGAAGTCTCACCCAGTAGACTACTTCAAAATGGTGAAAGTCCTCAATGTTGCTGCCCATGCTAAAATTGGCTTTTGGGCAATAGAGTCCTCTATATATATCTCTATGTGCTCCCAAGCCAAAAGGATCTGACTCGTTCATTTCTCTCTCGAGTCGGAACGGTGCTATGCCGGAATGTGGACAGTCAGAGCCCAGCGCGGTATATGGCTGGGAAAACATACTGTACCTCAAACATAGGGATGGAATACACTATATATACACAAACGTATGTGGACACCCCTTCAAATTAGTGGATTCGGCTATTTCAGCCACACCTGTTGCTGACAGGTGTATAAAATCGAGCACACAGCCATACATTCTCCATAGACAAACATTGGCAGTGGAATGGCCTTACTGAAGAGCTCAGTGAGTTTCAACGTGGCACCGTCATAGGATGCCACCTTTCCAACAAGTCAGTTCGTCAAATTTCTGCCCTGCTAGAGCTGCCCCGGACAACTGTAAGTGCTGTTATTGTGAAATGGAAACGTCTAGGAGCAACAACGGCTCAGCCGCGAAGTGATAGGCCACATAAGCTCACAGAACGGGACCGCCGAGTGCTGAAGCACATAGCGGGTAAAAATCGTCTGTCCTTGGTTGCAACACTCACTACAGAGTTCCAAACTGCCTCTGGAAGCAACATCAGCACAGAAACTGTTAGTCGGGAGCTTCACGAAATGGGTTTCCATGGCCGAGCAGTCGCACACAAGCCTAAGATCACCATGCTCAATGCCAAGCATCGGCTGGAGTGGTGTAAAGCTCGCCGCCATTGGGCTCTGGAGCAGTGGAAACGCGTTCTCTGGAGTGATGAATCACGCTTCACCATCTGGCAGTCCGATGGACGAACCTGGGTTTGGCGGAAGCCAGGAGGACGCTACCTGCCCGAATGCATAGTGCCAACTGTAAAGTTTGGTGGATGAAGAATAATGGTCTGGTCCCGTTTTTCATGGTTCGGGCTAGGCCCCTTAGTTCCAGTGACGGGAAATCTTAACGCTACAGAATACAATGACATTCTAGACGATTCTGTACTTCCAACTTTGTAACAACAGTTTGGGGAATCCTGTTTCAACATGACAATGCCCCGTGCACAAAGCGAGGTCCATACAGAAATGGTTTGTTGAGATCGGTGGGGAAGAACTTGTCTGGCCTGCACAGAGCCCTAAACTCAACCCCATCGAACACCTTTGGGATGAATTGGAACGCCGACTGCTAGCCAGGCCTAATCGCCCAACATCAGTGCCCAACCTCACTAATGCAAGTCCCCTGCAGCAATGTTCCAACATCTAGTGGAAAGCCTTCAAAGAAGAGTGGAGGCTGTTATAGCAGCAAAGGGAGGGGACCAACTCCATATTAATGCCCATGATTTTGGAGATGTTCGACAAGCAGGTGTCCACATACTTTTGGCAATGTAGTGTATGTCATTGTACTCCAAATCATCTGGAAATTATTAAGAATCAAAATGATTGAAATACGGCTAGTTAATTAAACTGCTGTTTTCGACAGCATGTTAGGTTAGCTAATGCTATAGCAGCCCATTGGATTCCATGAAAATGCAACGCCTAGCGTTGGGGCGAGTAGCTACCGGAAGTGCAGTTGAATCCGATGGGTTGCTTTCGCATTAGCTAGCCTAGCATGCTGATGAAAACGGCAGTTTAATTAAAAACTGGGAGTATTTCAATCTCCTTGATTCACCTTTCATAATTTTGATTAGGGGCTATATTCAATCTATCGCTGAAGCGTTACAGATTGCGATAGAAATGTAAAGGTAATTTCAGATTGAGCCGACATATGCAGCGTTAACCGTGACTGCAGTCTCCGCTAATGTGGGAACATCGCCTTTACATTTTAATCACGCTGTAACGCTGAACTTCCGAGATACAGATTAAATAGAGCCCTAGGAGTACAACAACATATTCCATCCCTGGATTGAGGTACATTTTCCCAGCCATTTACTGCACCGGGCTCTGGCTAGCACTGTTCTGACTTGAGAGAAATGAACGAGAGTCGGATTCTTTTGGTATGTACTCCCCTGACCACTCTCATACCTTGAGAAGTTAGTCTTCATTCCCCAAATCCCTAGTATGAAGCTCCTATGCTTCAGAGTAAATCTGAGAGGTAAAGATCAAATATAAAAGCTCCACCTGGCTTCAACTAGCCAATCCTCTCAGATCAACAAAAGTACTTAGGGAGGTAGAGGAAAGGGCTTGATTTGGGATCAAGCAATTGAGTTAGCATTCTTTACCACCCCTTTCCCTATGGAGTCTCACCACCGGGTTATCCTTACCCTCCAGCAGCGGGGGCTCGTCGTCAAAGCTGCTGCCATACATGGACTGTGTGGGGGAAGGTGTGAAAGCTGGTGTGGGCTGGTAGATTTGGCCTGTGTAGGGCTGCTGGGGTTGCATCATCCCTGGGGCTGGGTATCCCATCGGTTGGGAGTAGTCATACTGACCCCTGGGAGGGTCACATAGGCACACTTCTCAGAAAACCTTCATGGCTTTGTTAAAAACAGTATGCATCAAGCTAGTAAGCAACACATAGAGAACAATACTAGCAAAACAGGCCCTTGAGAGACAGAGGGGAAAATGCATTGTTTTCAAATTGTTGACAGGCCTGTGTATTTTCAGATCACAGTGAGTTACAGATAAGTAACTGGGATCAATGCAATTTGTACAGGTTGACTAAACATACTGTTTGTAGGGGTCTTCTGTGTTACTGTTGCCATATCCAGTGGGTTGGCCTTGGTCATCGACACTGTAACTGGACTGGTAGAAATCTGTGTTTAAGTTGTCAAACCCTGACATTTCTGACCGTCTGCAAAAAAAAAAAAAGTTAATGTGCATTGTACGGCTGGAGGAGAAAATGGTGTAAACAGGATTCAATTGATGGCTAGTTTAGCACAGCTTGATGCATTGGTATCTAGGAAGTTAGTGTGTATTGCTGCCCTTGCTCCTGGTCTGCATCTTTTCATGTAGATCAGTTTGCTCGCTAGAAACTTAGCATCAAGGGGAACGCCATTTGATGCAGCTGCACCAAAGATACTTCCCCTTTTCATCTGTGGCTTGACAGTCTTACTTACCGCTAGCTAAGTTCCCTTCCAATCTTAATGGTAGTGGCAAACTTAGCTATATTCAGGATTACAGAAAACATATACCTGGTTGGTTAACTAACTATCCAACTAGCTACGCAACTCTAACGTTAGCTACCTAGCTGTCTAATGTTAGTTTCCAACGGTATTTCCTCTTGATGTGACTTTACCTAGCTAGCCACTTAGCTAGTTAAACTAGTGGCCAGCTAGCCAACCAACAAAGTTCTAGCTAAATCAAATGCAATTTTATGTCACGTGCCGAATACAACAAGTCAGGTGTCGACTTCACCGTGATATGCATACTTACGAGCCCTTTCCCAACAACGCAGAGTTAAAAAGCAACAAACATGTGCAAACTAAAACAATAACTAGACTAGCTATACAAGGAGTACCAGTACCGAGTCAATGTGCAGGTGTACAAGGTAGTTATGGTAATATGTACATGTAGGTAGGGGTAAAAGTGACTAGGCAATAATGATAGATAAACAGAGTAGCAGCAGCGTATGTGAAGAGTGTGAAAGTGTGTGGCGTCAATATGCATGTGTGAGCATAAGTGTATGTTGGAGTGTCAGTGTAGTTCATTGAGTGTTCATAGAGCCGGGGTCTGAATACTTTCCGAATGCACGGTATATATATATATATATATATATATATATATACATACACATACACTGTGCATTCAGAAAGTATTCAGACCCCGGCTCTATGCACACTCAATGAACTACACTGACACTCCAACATATAAATATGCTCACACACATGCATATTGACGCCACACACCCACATATTGACACACTAACATGCGCTGCTGCTACTCTGTTTATTATCTATCATTATTGCTTAGTCACTTTTACCCCTACCTACATGTACATATTATCGTAACTACCTTGTACACCTGCACATTGACTCGGTACTGGTACTCCTTGTATAGCTAGTCGCCTTATTGTTTTAGACTTTTTCCACATTTTGTTACGTTACAGCCTTATTCTAAAATGTATTAAATAATTGTTTTCCATCAATCTACACACAACACCCCATAACGGCAAAGCGAAAACAGGCGTAGAAAGTTTTGCAAATGTATTAAAAATAAACAGAAATACCTTATTTACATAAGTATTCAGACCCTTTGCTATGAGACTCGAAAATTGAGCTCAGGTGCATCCTGTTTCCATTGATCATCCTTGAGATGTTTCTACAACTTCATTGGAATCCACCGGTGGTAAATTTAATTGATTGGACATGATTTGGAAAGGCACACACCTGTCTATATAAGGTCCCAGAGTTGACAGTGCATGTCAGAGCAAAAACCAAGCCATGAGCTGGAAGGAATTGTCCGTAGAGCTCAGATACGGGATTGTGTCGAGGCAAACATCTGGGGAAGGGTTCCAAAAAATGTCTGCAGCATTGAAGATCCCCAAGAACACAGTGGCCTCCATCATTCTTAAATGGAAGTAGTTTGGAACCACCAAGACTCTTCCTAGAGCTGGCCACCCAGCCAAACTGAGCAATCGGGGGAGAAGGGCCTTGGTCAGGAAGGTGACCAAGAACCCGATGGTCACTCTGACAGAGCTGCAGAGTTCCTCTGTGGAGATGGGAGAATCTTCCAGAAGGTTTTCATCTCTGCAGCACTCCACCAATCAGGCCTTTATGGTAGAGTGGCCAGACGGAAGCCACTCCTCAGTAAAAGGCACAGGACAGCCCGCTTGGAGTTTGCTAAAAGACAACAAAAGACTCTCAGACCATGAGAAACAAGATTCTCTGGTCTAATGAAACCAAGATGTAACTCTTTGGCCTGAATGCCAAGCGTCACGTCTGGAGGAAACCTGGCACCATCCCTATGGTGAAACATGGCGGTGGCAGCATCATGCTGTGGGGATGTTTTTCAGCGGCAGTGACTGGGAGACTAGTCAGGATCGAGGTAAAGATGAATGGCACAAAGTGCAGAGAGCTCCTTGATGAAAACCTGCTCCAGAGCGCGCAGACTTGGGCGAAGGTTCACCTGCCAACAGGACAATGACCCTAAGCACACAGCCAAGACAACGCAGGAGTTGCTTCGGGACAAGTCTCTGAATGTCCTTGAGTGGCCCAGTCAGAGTCCGGACTTGAACCCGCTCGAACATCTCTGGAGAGACCTGAAAATAGCTGTGCAGCGACGCTCCCCATCCAACCTGACAGAGCTTGAGAGGATCTGCAGAGAAGAATGGGAGAAACTCCACAAATACAGGTGTGACAAGCTTGTAGCGTCATATCCAAGAAGACTCGAGGCTGTAATCGCTGCCAAAGGTGCTTCAATGTACTGAGTAAAGGGTCTGAATACTTACGTAAATGTGATATTTCCAGGGTTCTTTTATTATTTTTTTTTCATAAATTAGCTAAAAACGTCTAAACCTGTTTTTGCTTTCTCATTATGGTGTAGTGTGTAATCAATTTTAGAATAAGGCTGTAAGAAAATGTAGAAAAAGTCAAGGGGTCTGAATACTTTCCAAATGCACTGCATGTATGACAATGTAAAACAATACAACCACGCATGTGGATAATACATTTAAAATCATCGAAGATGACAAAAGTTTGACAACTTATTTCCATTGTGGTGACTTCATACTCTTCCACAACTGACGTGTAGCGCCCACGTGGGTGATTCCTCTGCCGCTGCTACAGCGCAAAAAAAGGCCCACCATACATCAGTCTAGAACAGTAGTCATCCCCACGACGACCTCTCTGCCATAATGGGGTCTGGTCTCATTGATCAAGAAGCTGGTGCTGAGATGCATCTTTTAAATGCAAACTTTAGCCAGCTAGCTAGCCAAACCAGACAAGTCAACATGACATCAGTCCTGAAACTCCGTGGGTAAAAATAACCAGATATCCAAACAACAACTTATTAAAAACAAAAACGCTGATTAGGAAACAAACAAACACTTAAACACAACATATGTAGCTACAACATTTACAGAGCTCATTGTTTAGGCTACTTTACAGCGCCATGACAACCACGCAAAGAACGTTAACCTAACGTTAGCTAGGTCAGTTAACGTTAGCTAGCTAGCAAGCTAGTAAAACATGTAGGGCAATGTTATTTGAAATATAACATTTGCCATCTAGCTGGTTAGTTAGCTAGTTTACTAAAAATGTGGTATTTAACGTTAGCTAGCTAACTAGGCAAATTTATTTGATGTTAGCTAGGGAGGTAGCTCAGTTGGTAGAGCATGGCGTTTCCAACGCCAGGGTTGTGGGTTTGATTCCCACGGGGGGCCAGTATGAAAATAAAAAAGAATAATGTATGCACTAACTGTAAGTCGCTCTGGATAAGAGCGTCTGCTAAATGACGTAAATGTAAATGTAGCTGGATGCCTAGCTAAATTAACGCAGACAGTCAGGGTGGATAGCTAACGATGGCTAGCTAGTTAGCTAGCGCAGACTAATAAATGGAATGTAGCCTCGTAATTTATCAGACTGATTACCACACCGCTGTCCTACCTATAGTATCAGTCTGGAAATAATAGCTAGTTACCATTGATATCCGTGCAGCTTTTAATGTAACGTTAAACTCGCGGGATCAGGCGGCTCGCGACGCTAAAATGAATGTGGGCCTCGATACAATATTTAATCAAGCTATAAACGTGTTTTTACTGTTACATGGATTTGACTAAGCAATACTAACCGTTGTTACCTGCAACGTTGAACAATTCAACACTGGACTTCGCCAACTTCGTTGCTAGCTACGTGTCTAGAAAAAAATAAAGGAATGTTTTCCGGGTCTTCTTCTTCGATGGTATAATGGCGGTCCGCAAATATATGTTAGAGGTGCATGGCGCCACCTGCTGTGTAGAGTGAAAACTGGGGAACTTTAACGCAGAAAAACACATGGAAATAGGGAAAGGGTGAACAAAAACATACTAATATAGTCAGATTCAAACGTCTACTACGATAACTACAGGCTCTGGGGTCTGAGAGGGAAGCACATCTTCAGACAGTATTCCCTGCAATGTTTCAGCTGTAAAGTCCTGGCGATCCAAAACCCTTTTTGCTGCATTCACAATTATATCAGGTTTCTTTGAATTCTTGTTAGTTTGACCTGTACTATGTATCACCTGTGCAATAAACGCAACAAAATCCACCTTCTTCACTATCAGTACTTCAGGATCCCTCAATTGATGAACAACACTTTCTTCAGGCTGAGGGGCATTCATTGCCATTTCTTCCTCATTTGCACTTGCTCCTTCAGCTATTTGTACTGCCTCTGCATAGGAGACCTGGTGGACAGCCCGGATATTTGCTACTTCAACCTCCTTCACCATTACATGGCACTCCTGGAACTCGGGAGCATGGTTCCCACCCCAATTGCACACTGTGTATCCAAACTTGCCATGTGGCCAAACATGCTACATTTAAGACACTGCAATGGTCTGCACATGGATTTGACCCTTTCTGCACTGCTCTCACCCTGGAAACTTCAATCTGTCTCAATCGCATGGGACATTTCTGATCCCCAGCAACATGGCCACCCCCACAATTGAAATACTCCACTTTCTCCACTGAAACTACACACTCTTTTGTCCCATACCCTTCTGCACACTTCTCACACCTCATAATCTCCCTCCTACATACTGCTTGGCACCTGAGACACCTAACTTGTATACCCTAGCATGACTTTATCCGGCAAACCCTTTGCATCAAAACTCAGAAGGACAGACATGGCATCCTCAGACAGGGTCTGCGTCGCACCAAACGGCATATATCACAGACACCGGGTATCCCCAACTTCAGTTGATCCACCTTAACACTCAACCCCACCCCAGTTATCACTTCTTTCAGCTGCGCTCTGCTCCGGAGAGCAAAGCAGGACACAGTTTTCCGTCCAGAGTCTCGAAATGTGCAGCGCCCTCTCCCTCTGAGCAGCAGACGCACAAAAAATCCATAGAAGTCCACCTCTGGATATTTTGACCGAATTGACAGGACTCTAAGCAAAAATGTTTATCTTTAATTTACAATCTGTAGAAACTATGAGAATAGAAATGTTCAGAACTTTTGTGAAACATCACAGCACAGTGGAAAAAAATATATGGCAGCTAGAAATGAAAAGTGGATGGTCTTCAGAGATAGATGGGAGGGGTTGAGGGTAGTTGAAGGCTGAGACTGAAAACAAACAAAAGATAACTCATGTAAAATATACTGTGTCCGTAAAATGTATAGTGCATTCGGAAAGTATTCAGACCCCTTGACCTTTTCCACATTTTGTTACGTTACAGCCTTATTCCTTTACTCAGTACTTTGTTGAAGCACCTTTGGCAGCGATTACAGCCTTGAGTCTTCTTGGGTCTGATGTTACAAGTTTGGCACACCTGTATTTGTGGAGTTTCTCCCATTCTTCTCTGCAGATCCTCTCAAGCTCTGTAAGGTTGGATGGGGAGCATTGCTGCACAGCTATTTTCAGGTCTCTCCAGAGATGTTAGATCGGGTTCAAGTCCGGGCTCTGGCTGGGCCACTCAAAGACATTCAGAGACTTGTCCCGAAGCCACTCCTGCGTTGTCTTGGCTGTTGGAAGGTGAACCTTCACCCCAGCCTGAGGTCCTGAGCACTCTGGAGCAAGGATCTCTCTGTACTTTGCTTCGTTCATCTTTGCCTCGATCCTGACTAGTCTCCCAGTCCCTGCCACTGAAAAACATCCCCACAGCATGATGCTGCCACCACCATGCTTCACCGTAGGGATGGTGCCAGGTTTCCTCCAGACATGACTGTCACACCCTGATCGGTTTCACCTGTCTTGTGCTTGTCTCCAACCCCCACCAGGTGTCTCCCATTTGTCCCCATTATCCCCTGTGTATTCATACCAGTGTTTTCTGTTTGTCTGTGCCAGTTCATCTCATCAAGCTTACCCGCGTTTTTCCCGTACTCCTGTTTTGCTCTAGTCGCTGTTTTTTCCAGTTTTTCCCGGTTTTGACCATTCTGCCTGCCCTGACCCTGAGCCTGCCTGCCGTTCTGTACCTTGTGACACTGTTCTGGATTACCGACCTCTACCTGCCCCGACCCTGAGCTGTACATTTGGGCTCTGCTCTGGATTACTGACCTCTGCCTGCCCTTGACCTGTCGTTTACCTGCCCCCTGTTTTTGTAAATAAACGTTTTGCTATTTCGAACTGTCTGCATCTGGGACTTATCCTGAGTCTTGATAGTACGAATTGGCCATGACGGACCCAGCAGACTCGGACCAGCTCCACAATGCCATCTCCTCCCAAGGAGCCACCATTGGGAGGCACGAGGAGTTGCTGCGTGGTCTTATGGAGGGTTTCCAGACCTTGGCAGAACGCCATGACCGCGCATTGAATACATTGCTGGAGCAATTCCGTGGTTTGTCTGTTAGGCAGCCTACCACGACGGTAACCTCCCAGCCCGTCAGTAACCCGGTTGTCAACAGCGCGTCTCTCCCGGCCACCCCGGCTTCCCGAGAACCCCGCTTACCTCCACCGGAACACTTCGCTGGAGAGTCGGGAACCTGTTGGGCATTTCTCGCTCAGTGTTCCCTCATCTTTGAATTGCAGCCCTCCTCCTTCCCCTCGGACCACTCGAAGATAGCGTACCTCATCGCGCTGATGTCCGGGAGGGCTCTCGCCTGGGCTACGGCAGTGTGGGAACAACAGTCTGCCGTGGGCTTTAGTCTGGAGGAGTTTGTGGACGAGGTGAAGAAGGTTTTTGATTCTCCATTTTCCGGGAGAGAGGCTGGCCGTAAGTTACTCCAGCTTCGGCAATACTCCCGCAGTGTGGCAGACTATGCGGTGGATTTCCGCATGCTGGTGGCTGAGAGTGCATGGAACCCGGAATTGCTGTTCGACACGTCCCTGCACGGATTATCTGAGGAAGTTAAGGACAAGCTAGCAGCCCGGGAACTACCTATGGATCTCGACTCGCTTATCGCCTTGACTATCTGGATCGATGGGCGGCTGCGGGAACGTGGGAAGGAGAGGAGGTCCGATTCCACTCGCCCGCCCAAGGATTCCACCTCACCTCCGAGGCATCCCGGAAGTCCCCGTCGTCTCCGTCTCCGAGAGAATCAGAGGCTACCCGAGTTTCCCAGAGAGTTTCCGAAGTCTGCTGATTCGCCTCTTCCCGAGCCGATGCAACTAGGCAGAGCTAGGTTGTCTCCAGCCGAACGTTTACACAGGCTTAACACTAAGAGTTGTCTGTATTGCGGGACTACTGGTCATTTCGTGTCCTCCTGTCCACTAAAAGACCAGGTTCAACGGTAGGGGCGAGTACTCTGGTGGGCCATACGGAGAACATTCCCTCTCCCCCGTCTCATCGAAGGCCAACCGGCGTACATGGTGAGGCGCCTCCTGAAGGTTCGACCGCGGGGCAGGGGATTCCAGTACCTGGTTGACTGGGAGGGTTATGGCCCAGAGGAGAGGTGCTAGGTCCCCGCTAGGGACATCCTGGACCCAGGCCTCATCGCTGAGTTCCACCGCCGGCACCCCGGTCAACCAGGTATGCGCCCAGGTAGGATGCCAGGTGGCGTCCCTAGGGGGGGGGTACTGTCACACCCTGATCGGTTTCACCTGTCTTGTGCTTGTCTCCAACACCCACCAGGTGTCTCCCATTTGTCCCCATTATTCCCTGTGTATTTATACCAGTGTTGTCTGTTTGTCTGTTGCCAGCTCGTCTTGTCTTGTCAAGCTTACCCGCGTTTTTCCCGTACTCCTGTTTTGCTGTAGTCCCTGTTTTCCAGTTTTTACCTGTTTGTATTTTATTTTTTATTTTTAATACATTTACTAACATTTCTACAAACCTGTTTTCGCTTTGTCATTATGGGGTATTGTGTGTAGATTGCTGAGGATTTTTTCCATAAAGTGTGGAAAAAGTCAAGGGGTCTTAGTGGATTCGGCTATTTCAGCCACACCCGTTGTTGACAGGTGTATAAAATCGAGCACACAGCCATGCAATCTCCATAGACAATCATTGGCAGTAGAACGGCCTTACTGAAGTGCTCAGTGACTTTCAACCTGGTACCGTTATAGGATGCGTGCCCTGATAGCACAACGAGCAATGAGGAAGTGAATTGGTGCTGGCCTACCACTTCCTCAGCCGAGAAGTGGTAGGCCACACAAGCTCACAGAATGGGACCGTCGAGTGCTGAAGCGCGTAACGCGTAAAAATGGTCTGTCCTCGGTTGCAACACTCACTACCAAGTTCCAAACTGCCTCTGGAAGCAACGTCAGCACAAGAACTGTTCGTCGGGAGCTTCATAAAATGGGTTTTCCATGGCTGAGCTGCCGCACACAAGCCTAAGATCACCATGTGCAATGCCAATTGTCGGCTTGAGTGGTGTAAAGTTTGCTGTTATTGGACTCTGGAGTGATGAATCACGCATCACCATCTGGCAGTCCAATGTACGAATCTGGGTTTGGCGGATGCCAGGAGTGCGCTACCTGCCCGAATGCATAGTGCCAACTGTAAAGTTTGGTGGAGGAAGAATAATGGTCTGGGGCTGTTTTTCATGGTTCGGGCTAGGCCCCTATGTTCCAGTGAAGGGAAGTCTTAAAGCTACAGCATTCAATGACATGCTAGACGATTCTGTGCTAACCGATTCATACAGAAATGGTTTGTCGAGATCGGTGTGGAAGAACTTGACTGGCCTGCATAATACAGTATACTAGAGTAACGTCTGCAATAACACTACCGTAAATACTACAGTAAAGTCCGCAAAAACACCACAGTGAATACTATAGCTGACGTTTGGCAACTCGTGTGTTTTGGGTCATTGTCATGCTGG